TAATTGACTATACTATTTGGTGTCGTTTTCATCTCTCTCGCTGTGACCAGTTCTGCGGTGGACGTATTCATTTGTAGGCTCCCGTGACCGTTTAAGGCTTATTTTATATGCGCGGACCTGTTCACTCTTTTCCGTCCCTGTCCTATGAAGCACGTACAGGATGTTTAACGGTAGCCTCCCAGGATGCACTCACAGCTAACTTATTGACTTTACTACAGGCGGTTGCATATAACTGTTACTGACGTCCCCCAAAGTAATGGGTTAAGACCTTGTTACTTCTATCAACTTTGGTGGTAAACAGCTTTACCGTCCTAATGACCATGAGGTTTACGTCTGCTGTTTATTCCATATTCACCTATAATACAAAGCAAATGAGGTCTCGCAAGCTCTCGCCACCAAGGATAAAATGTTTAGAGGCTGAGGGTATGAAAACCATAACCATGAGGCTGGGTCATATAGGTCCCATTAGGTTTCTTGCTTGGGGACCCCGAGATGATGGTTTCCGATGATTAAAGACACTGAGCGATATGGCTGGGTGTCGCAAACAGTGGCGCTCATGCATCTACTCATTATTCTTGTAAAATCAGTTTATATAAACTCTCTATCTTCCGCTTGAATTTGCTCTCGACATTCCAGTCTTCATTCTGCTGCAAATGGGTGACCAAAAGACAGTAATCAAAACCGGCCCACCAAAGTGCACAGTTAATGGTTTTAAAAACTGAACTGAAACGCAGCACAATCAGGTAAGAGATATTTTCAATGAAAGACCAATCAGGCCTCGCACGCTGTCACCACCGTAGGATGAAATGTCTAGAGGCTTCCGAGACAAATCGCACACAGACACAGTGAGGCTGCATCAGTGGTACAAATAGTGTTAGAGCATAGCTGTCTGTGGATGACACTCCCTTGAAGAGCATGATAAATACACTGTTTGTTACTAAAGCAAGACTCATGACGATTTTGTTTTCTTTTATAACACAATGTGAATTAAAGTAAAAGGGGAAATCCCCATGGACAAATAGCATACTGTAAAAGGGAGAGTAGGGGAACAATCATGTAAGACCCAGTTTATTGATTGTACGTTTGAAAAGTGTAAGATTGTAAGTTGGGGGAAAAAGAGAAAGTGGGAGGGTATTCCACGAGTTGGCAGTTCGGGGAAAAAAGAAGATTGGAGTAGAGGGGTATGACATCTGGGAACAGAAACCTGATAAGGATGACTAGAGGAACTGCCGAGGCAAGTTCTGAAGAGCAAAAGCCAAAATAGTAGCGGTAGAACATGGACAATGAAGCAACTACCCGACGATGGGCTAGTGTTTGCAGACTGGTTGTTAGGGAAGAATCATCCATTAGCCGGATGGCCTTTCGTTGAACACAAACAAGAAGAGAAAGGGAAGAGGATGAAGCCCACCCCACATGTAACTACAGTACTCAAGAGCAGGACGGATTTTAGCTTTGTACTATAGAAGATGAGCTGGGGTAAAAGACGTCTTGATTGGACCAATCATCTCCATAAGATGAGCTGTCATTCGAGCAGATTAGTTATCCAACTTTGTCCATTAAAGCCCCAATTAGAAGAATAGTTCGGCAATTAGCTGATCAGGTGACGGTTAACACCGTCGACAAGTTGCGTAATCCCGTTGCTTGTATCTTGATTGTCAAATCTATCATTCACTTTTCACATTAAAATGCTCAGTTCATCGTATTCAGAAAGACGGGGACTATCAAAAACACATTCGATGTGAAACCAAATAATCAACTTTCACATCCCTGATGTTTGTTATCTTTCACCTTAGGCACTTCTATGCATAGTGTTGGCACTGCCTGTCTTAGGCCGTTGTTTCAGCTTACCTCGGTGCAAACTGGAGTCATGAATCCTTATCCTCATTTTGGTAATTTTGTCACGGGTTATTTGAGTTTCCTATTACATTGTATTATAATAACTTCTGTAGGCCTAAAGGTTACATTTTATGTAAAAATATACAAGTTAGAGTAAGGGACAAAATAAAAATAAAAATGAAAAAAAGAGATTTAAATCCCCAAAATGTTAACAAAGTCTGTACTGTAGAGTTACGATATATGTTTATTCGAGAGGGAACACAACGGTATTGGGACCTAGTTGAAGGATGGGAACAACAGCAAGTTAAATCTGCATGTAGCGGAAGTGTGGAGTCGATAAGAATCTTATGTTCAAACATTTTACATGCATTCAAATGACGTTCACACAGATCAGTTACCAATTCCTAGAGAGGGATTGAAGAGACTCGGCTAATGATGGCTGATGGTGGTCAGTCCACGTCGAAGCAGTTTAAAATCTTTATTTATGAGATTGGAAAAATAACAAG